AATATCATGCATAGCATTAGTGCCGTGGGCCCGATTACATGCACGGGACCTGCAGTGGTTCCTGCTCCCATACCAGAGACAGCGTTCCAGTATATCCAGGTTCCTCATCAGGTACGTCTATCTCTCAGCTGGTGGACTTCATCGGCTATTCACAAGGGAACCCTATTCAAAGAGCCCAGTCGAGTTCAGATGACCATGGACGCAAGTCTCTTTGGCTGGGGGGCACATCTCCAATCCCAGATGGCTCAGGGTCAGTGGTCACAGACAGACCTGAGAAACAGTGTAAACTGGTTAGAGCTCAGAGCCATACACCTAGCTCTCAAAAAATTCCACACGGTAGTCCGAGAGTATCATGTGCTGGTCCTGACGGACAACTTGGCTGCAAAGGCTCACGTGAATCGACAAGGAGACACCCGGTCCAAGTCCCTCATGACAGAGGCTCGAGCATTGAGCTCCTGGGCAATGGAGAGCAAACACCTGCTCTCCATCAGGGCCGAGCATATCTCGGGAGAGGCAACTCGGCAGGCAGACTTCCTCAGCAGGTCGACAGTAGATCATTCGGAGTGGATGTTACATCCAGATATCTTCAGGGAAATTTCGGACAGATTTGGTCATCCGATCGTGGACCTGTTTGCTTCCCCGGAGAACACCCAGCTGCCCAGATTCTTTTCTTGGTTCCTCTCCCGGGGAGCAGAGGGGGCGGCTGTTGTATGCTTTTCCTCCACTGCCTCTACTTCCAGCAGTGATCAGAAAGATCCTGGAGGAACAGGCGGAAGTGATCTTTATATAGTAGCTCCTCACTGGCCCAGAAGACCATGGTTCGCAGACCTGGTGAGTCTCTCATCCTCATACAGTATCTCTCATCCGGATACAGTTGACGCATCCAGCATCCAGACCCACAATGGCTTCAATTGACCGCCTGGCACTTGAACGCCGCACCCTGACTAGGGAATCATATTCGGTGGAGGTGATCGATATGATCCAGGCAGCCAGGAGACCAGCGACTAACCGTATTTATGACCATACATGGAAGAGCTTCTGTCGATGGTGCGACAGGAATCACGTGAGTCTGTCACAGGTAACCATTCCCAGGGTGCTAGAATATTTGATGGAGGGCGTCAAAAAGGGGTTGGCGCCCAACACTATACGCAGAAAGTTAGCGGCACTTTCCTCTGTACTCTCGTGGGACTCCTCTGAGTCTTTATCAAGGCACCCCGCCATATGGTCTTTCCCCAAGGGAGTAACTAACAGTAGACCCCCTGTGGTTCATAGATATCCTTCTTGGGACTTACCTCGGGTTCTTTAGGCACTAACCTCACCTCCCTTTGAACCACTTAAAACATGTTCTTTGCAACACTTGTCACTCAAAGTCTCCTTCCTGATTGCAATTACTTCGGCTAGGCGCATTTCGGAATTGGCTGCATTGTCGGTCAGGAAGGACCTGTGCACATTTCATGGGGACAAGGTGATTTTCCGACTAGACCCTTCATTTATTCCAGAAATAAATACAGTATTCCATAGGGCACAAGAGGTCATTCTTCCAGATTTCTGTCCTCAGCCTTCACAGGAATTGGAATGGCAATGGCACATGCTTGATGTAAGGAAAGCCTTACACCATTGTGTCAAGCTCACGGTACCCTTCCGTAAAGCTGAAGATCTGTTTGTGTTCTTTCAGCCTTCTTCAATGGGTCAAAAGGTGTCAGTTTCCACCATAGGTAGGTGGATCAGGGCCTGTATCGCAAGCGCATACGTCTCACTGGCCTTGCAGATTCCTCCTCATGTGACAGCTCACTCCACCTGCAGTGCTGCCACAACTGCGTCGTGGGCAACCCAGGCGTCCATTGAGGACATTTGCAGGGCAGCGACATGGTCATTGCCATCACCTTTCATTAGACATTACTGTCTGAACAAGTTTGCTTCGGCTGAGGCCGCTTTCGGTAGACGTATTTTACAACAAGTAGTCACACCATCAATGGGACCGGCCCCAACTAATCCCCACCCATAGGGACTTGGAGAGCTTTGATACGTCCCATTGGTGGATTCTTCAGTCATCATGCTGGAGAAGGAGCGTTGGCTTACCTGAACACCTTTTCTCAGCATGATAATGAAGAATCCACGCCCTCCCATCTAGTGATTAGTTAGGGGGGGCTTTTCTGCTTGCTTTTCTCTGGATACCTGCTTGAGAGTCATCACGTCGAACTGTTGTCATTGGCTACGCCATCGATGAAACTGGAAGTAACTAGATAATGAGGAGGCGTGACAACTTGACAACTTAGTCTGATTGGGCAGGAGGACTGAAATAACCCATTGGTGGATTCTTCATCATCATGCTGAGAAAAGCCGTTCAGGTAAGCCAACGCTCCATCCCTTAAGACTACAAAATAAATCTGAGGACAAGAAAATAGATCAGATAAAATGGACTGTAGAGGTGTCAGGAACATTGGAGAGAAAGGAAATGATAAGAGAAGCAGAGAGAAAGAAAAAGAAAAAGATTTTCAACAAACATGGAAAGGCAGAAGTCCCGTACAAAGACACTTCTCTTGATTTACTTTTTATATCTACAGCAACATTTACGAATATACGGAAAAACTTTTTGATTCAGCAAAATACATTGATTAAGAAAGACATTGGGCAAAAGAAAAAGACTAAAGTGGAAACTAAGAAAATAGATGATGGGACTTACCAGAAAGAATACTTAAAAAAGAAACATTTGTTTGAATATGGTTAAAGAAATAGAAAAGTTTTGGAATATATATGTCACTCTAAGAGGGACAAATTCTCTAAATATAATATAGTATGCTTTTTCCCCTTTTTTGTTCTCTTTCTTGATATGATATAATGATATAATATAAAAAAGTTGAAATGACTTAGATAAAAGAAATATTTTAGATACTTAAATGTGATTGAATTTAAGAAAATTATAATGGATAAAAAATTAAGAATTAAAGGACTAGATGACTAGATGTATTAAATGGAATTTTGAAAGATTAAACATATTTTTAATTATAGTTAAAAAGAATAAGAAATTTAGGAAATAAATACATATTAGCTTAGGAGGGATATATATTTTAAGTACTATGTTATTTTTTATGCTTCTTTACTCTTGTTTTTCTTTCTTTTTTTCTACTGTTCTATCTATTTCTTAAGAAATGTAAAAGTGTGAGATAGTTCATATGGAAAAATAGAGTTAAATTCTTAAATATAATTAATTTTTGAGAAAATCTTAACCAGTAAGAATATCTAGAATTTGGTGGGAGAAACAAATTAAAATAAGGACTATAACAGGATGTATGGTAAGGCAACCAGAATGATTGGATAGAAAAGAAATATTATATTGATGTGATTATTATTTTTAGGACTATTGGGAAAATTATATATTGTTATCTATCAAAACAGTAAGAATTGTATTAACTCAATATTTGCAAAAGAGGATATTTTGGGAAAAGAGGAAATCAACAAAAACTATTATGTGGATTATGGATTATAGAAATCAATTGTTAGTTATTGTTTTACAAATGTAACCCAGACAACACACTGTTCACCAATTATTAAGTGATTTATGTTTTTTTTAAAAAAATCAATAAAATATATTACAAAAAAAATAAATGAAAGAAACAAAGCCTGCTTCTTTCATATCACTCCAGTAAAAATCTGTTCACTCAGCTGACTCTTTTGGATTTGTTTCTGTGAGCTTGTGATGGTTAAAATACTTTTCTTAAATGCAAAACTTGTAATTTTGATTTGATGAGTGGCACCAAGGTTGTGTATGTACAGTATGAGATTTTCTGCAGTTAGAGAAGACTAGGGTGAGAGATTTTTCCCCTGAGGATCATCTTATGATGGTGCCAATCCTGTTAATGCTTCTTTCTACTAGTAGGAAGTTTGCTCTTCCTTTTCCTTTTTCAACTACAAGGCAGACATAAGGGGCATTTTCTTCTTTGTCTTTGGTCACTTGTATTATTTACAATAATGACAAAGAAACTGTTGTACCATGACTGCAATAATATGTAGTTGGCCACATCTTCAAATGTTTGAGCCTTTTTGATTTACAAAAATCTCACGTTGTTTTTGTAATGTATGAATGGTATATTCTGCATTACTACAGTTGGCTGTATTACAGTCTAGAACAAAATACCTATCCCCTCCCAATTAAAAAGGCATCTCTTTCAGCTAAATTTGTTGATCAGTCTTAGGATGACAGTTCTTATATTTCCTAAGGACTTTCTTTCATCTGCAGATTTAAACAAGTCCCAGAAGAGATAGACTATTCCTTGCTAATAGACCACTGGGAATGTCTAGCCCCTGTCACTCCTGAAAACATGGTGTAGGATGTCCAGCTTGGCTCCCTCTGTGAGCAAGTAACAGCAGGAAGCTCTGCTCTTTTTTTGCATTTTGGAAGAATGCACAAAACCAGCTGCCAGTTGCTCTGGCACAAAAGAAGATATGCCATGGTTCTATCCATCTACTAGGAAGTTAAGAGTTGTGAATGAAGTTGTATTGAAGGATAGAGTCAGGATGATCCACTTTATCCAATCAGATAAAATAGAAAAATTGTGAAATGTCTAACACAACTACCTGTATTTGTTTTCCTTCCTCTTCCTTTCCCCTATTTTGCATGTTGGGGTTTTTTAAAACTGGAAATTTGACTGTTGAAACCATTATCATAATCTGTAGAATGATTAGTAATTTTTAGACAACACATTAATGATAACAGTTATCTCATTCTGGTATATGCATGGGGGAATAGATTTACAACATGGATGTACTTACCTTTATAGCATCTTCAAGCTGGAAATCTTTGGTTAACAAATTCTAAATAAGACAAGTTATAAGTTGACTTCAAGTATTTGATTTTGAAGCTATAGTCATAGTTTTTAAGCTTCCCAAAGATTTCACTATCTAGATGCAATTATTACCTTTGCTATATAAAAAGCAATTTTTTGTTTCTTTATAGAATAGAAATTGTTTTTCTAATTTTTATTTTTATTTTCTATTCGCAGTGGATGAATACATTGCTATTGCAAAAGAAAAACATGGGTACAACATGGAACAGGTAATAAACAGTTGGAAAATGTTTAAATGTGTTTTCTCCCCTTCTCCAGTTGGGGCAGGGGTGGGTTTTTTTTTTTTTTTTTTTTGACAACTTGGTTTATTATTTTCAGTAAATACAAAATATGATGTAAAAGAGAAGCAGAAGTAACTATAAAGACTTTCAGTATGTTGATTTTGGCTTTAGGTGACTTTTATTAACCATGTTACCATATTTTTTAGTGTGTATGATATTTGCATATATAGAACTTTATGCAGTCATTTTAATTCTGCCTATTCAAAATGTCAAGCTGCACTCTTACACAAAAATCTTGACTAAAACATGTATGCAGAAACTAAATGAGCTCTTCCAGGAAGCTCAATAAAAGAGACAGCCAAAGACAGGGCCAGTTGCGTAGCAGAAGCCAAATGATGATTTTCTGTTTAAACACAGACTCCTTATATTTATTTCTGAATAATAAAAAAGAATATGCACTACCCAGATAAATGCAGAGAATTACTCCAAATAGAATGTTCACTTTAAGTTTCTTTAAAAAAAGTCAAATTAGAATTTTTAATGGCTGCCTCTAGCCATTAAAAATGTAGCATGAAATAGACCTCCCAACTTATAAACAAAACAAGTCACTTCCGAGGTTTAGAAATACCTTCTATAGAAAATTTCCAGGGATTTCCTGGACAGACCTAGACAGCTATTTATGTTGTGAGGGAAAATGAATAATCTCTGTCTCTTAAGCAGATCATGCCATAGGTTTTAAGAACAGCCTTCATATGTTTTGAAACCAAATGGGTTTCAGATGGAAGGAAAATCTATTGCATGCATCTCTGCCCTGGTGGTATTGGAAGGTGAAGGAAGAGTAAGCTGGCAGCCAGGTACAAGTGCGCCCAATTACAGGTCATCAGTTTTGTGTTGCTCTAATGCCACACACTTCGTTTAAGTTATAGATAGTCCAACTCACCCATGACCTTACCTAAAGTGATGTACAGCTGTTGTCAAGCTCCTGTCCCTCTTTAATTTTCTTTTAATTAAAAAAATGAATTGCATTCAGCAAACTGCCAGCCTCAAGTTATATTTCAGTAATGCATTCACTTAGAGCTCAGAAGAATTTCATTGACTTCAGAGATTGCAAAGACGCCTTCTGCATGGATGTTCTAGGATTGGCTCAACTCACCATATCTATCACTTTATGAGAGTGCTCACCATATGTTCTCAGCAGTCCAAATCAGGGGTCCTCAAACTTGACAACTTTAAGACTTTTGGACTTCAACTCCCAGAATTCTCCAGCCAGCATGAGGAAGTCTTAAAGTGGCCACAAGTCTTAAAGTGGCCAAGTTTGAGGACCCCTAGTCCAACTGAACCACTAACGCATAAAGGTTGGAAATGTTTAGGCAATACACTAATATAATAATACACTTGGAAGTGCTTCTCTTTAGCCTTTTTGTTTTCGTTGCCAGCTGTTCTGTTTTCCTCACTCTGAGTCAGAGCTTATTTTTCATGTCAGAGTTCTAATGTGGGGTCAGTAAAGTACTGGGGGGGGGGGGTAGACTAACAGAATACATGGTAAGGGAGGGTGAAAGATAATGGAAGGATCAGCAGGTCAGTAGATGGACCAATGTGATAGTGTTAGTGTTTATTTGTGGGCTGAGGGAACAGAACTGAAGAACATTTTCTCACATATTGACCTTAAACCCTATCAATATGTGGTTCCCAAACACTTTCCACTAAAACAACACAGCTCTTGAGAATAAAATGTTTGCTGCCCCTGTGTCCCTCCAGAAATAAAAGCAACAACTTAAGTCAGTATGGTCAGTGATAAGGGATGTTGGAAGTTATAGTTGAACAAAAGCTGGTCCACTGTATGTTTTCTCATTCTGATATAATAAGGTATTATAATTCAGCTAATATAGCTAAAAGAAATAAGCCTTAGATGAATCTGGATTTCTTTATTTCTCAACTTTTAAATCTGCCTAAAGAAAAGATTATTGGGAAGCCCATCCTATTTGAAACACTTGAAAGTGACCCAAGTAAGGGACCTATAATTTCATGTTCTATGAGGCATGCCTTACTGGAGACTTGAAAAGGGTAGGATCTTTCCTGTGATTACTTATTATATGTTAAATGCTTGCAATAAACCATGCTAAGAAAATAGTCAAAACGGAAACTCCCTAGATGTTCAACAATGACAAAATAACAACATGGATAGGGCCACAGATTTTTTTTAAGCAGTATTTTTTTCTTAAGTTTTCTTTCCTCTTTCCTTTCTCCTCTTTCCTTTCCTTTCCCTTCCCCTTCCCCTTCCCTATACTAATACTAAAACTAATACTAATACTAATACTAATACTAATACTATACTATACTATACTATACTATACTATACTATACTATACTATACTATACTATACTATACTATACTGCAAAATGGGTTTGAAGGACTGGGAAACCCTAATGGAAGAATTATCATTTAATTTTGAATTTTCTGAGTCAAAGTTTTAGTCCAGGAAATTTGGATTCTCTATATGACTGCAGAAATTGATCAAAATAGAAGATTTTACTTGAGTAAACTTGAATATCTGCTTAATTTTGTTTAAATAAGTAGCCCCTTTTCATATATATTCATTGATTTACAGAATTAAATAGATTTGCAGAAACTGTATTGTGTACTAGAGTAGAGCTATCTTTTTGTGCTGCTCTGTACAGGAACTAACAGACTTTTGAAATGAGGTTAAAATTTAGAATGGAGTGGGGTTTCCAGATATCCTTTATTCACACTTCCCCAAAATACCCTGATGAAACACAATAGTATTTCTCTTAGTTAATTAGATAAAATGCCTCCATACTCTAGAAAGAGTACAGAAAAGAGAACAAAGATGATTAAGGGACTGGAGGCTAAAACATATAAGGAAGAGTTGCTGGAATTGGGTATATCGAATTTAATGAAGAGAAGGACGAGGGGGGACATGATAACAGTGTTCTAATATCTCAGGGGTTGCCACAGAGAAGAGGGAGTCAAGCTATTCTCCAAAGCATCTGAAGGCAGGACAAGAAGCAATGGATGGAAACTAATCAAGGAGAGAAGCAATCTAGAACTAAGGAGAAATTTCCTGACAGTTAAAACAATTAATCAGTGGAACAACCTGCCTCCAGAAGCAGTAAATGCTCCAACACTGGAAGTTTTTAAGAAGAGACTGGACAGCCATTTGTCTGAAATGGTATAGGGTTTCTTGCCTGAGCAGGGGGTTGGACTAGACGATCTCCAAAGTCCCTTACAACTACTACTACTACTAGTAGTAGTAGTACTAGTACTTTATTATTATTATTATTATTATTATTATTATTATTATTATTATTATTATCATCATCATCATCATCATTATTATTATTATTATTATTATTATTATTATTATTCATTAGATGTGAACCTCAGTCAACTGAACATTCAAATTGACTGGCACTAATGGTTGACACGGGTTGCTACCAGCATCCTAGGTATCAACCAGGTATCCTTAAAATGTAAGATGTTCCGAGTAGCGCAGTTTTTTGCTGGAGCTATTGCAGGAAGCTGCAGTTTCTTGAAATATTTTGCAAAGTTTTGGACATAGTTCCCAGTGCCCCAATGACAATGAATATCACTGTTACACGTTTCATTATTATTATTATTATTATTATCGATCATCGCACAGTCAGCCAGATGTTCAGACTGGATTTGGCATTTTGTCTACCTATCGAGTCCTTACCCAGGACCTGGGATAGGCAGATGTGGATGTTTGATGGTATTACAGATATCGTCGCAGGATGGAAGCAGTTCCTAGTAAGGCCGCCTTTTGCAATTGACTAATAGCGAATTTGTCATTGCCAATGGTGTTCAAGTGGTGCTCCAGTTGTTTTGGGATTGCACCCAAGGAGCCTATCGCTATCGGTACTACCGTTGCTTGCTTTTGCCACAGTCTTTCTATTTCTATTTGTAGGTCTTTGTATTTTGTTATCTTCTCCAGTTCTTTCTCTTCTATTCTGCTATCTCCAGGCACTGCCACGTCCACTATCCGGACTTTTTTGTCTTTCTTATCGACAATTGTTAAGTCTGGGGTGTTATGTTGCAAGTGCTTGTCTGTTTGAATTCTGAAGTCCCAGAGCAGTTTAATTTTATCAGTTTCTATGACTTTCTCTATTTTATGATCCCACCAGTTTTTGCTTACAGGCAAATGATATTTTTTGCAGATCTTCCAATGCACCATTGTTGCTACTTTGTCATGCCGCTGCTTGTAGTCAGTCTGTGCAATCTTCTTGCAGCAGCTTATCAGGTGGTCCACTGTTTCTTCAGCATCTTTGCATAGGCGGCACTTACTGTCTGTTGCTGTCTTCTCAATTTTGACTTTGTATGCATTTGTCCTTAAGGCTTGGTCTTGTGCAGCCAGAATTAGTCCCTCGGTCTCTTTCTTCAATTTTCCTGCTCTTAGCCATTGCCAGGTTTTATTATTATCTGCTTTCCCAGCTATTTTTTTCATGTATTGGCCATGTAGTGCTTGGTCTTCCCATGCCTCTATTCTGTTCTTCATTTGGTCTTTCTTGTAGGCCAGTTTGGTCTCTCCAGTAGTTAGTAAGCCTTCCTGATATACTAATTTCAGTGCATCTTCATCATTTTTCTCCAGATATTCTTCCAAAGCCATTTTTTCTTCTTCAACCATCTGATGTACTTGTAGCATTCCACGCCCACCTATTTGCCTTGGTAAATAAAGTCTATCAATGTCACTGCGTGGATGAAGGGCATGATTCATTGTCATTATTTTTCTGGTCTGCCTATCCATTGCTTTTAGTTCTGCTTGAGTCCAGTCCACTATTCCAGCTGTGTACCTAATGACTGGGATTGCCCAGGTGTTGATTGCCTTTATGTATTTCCTCCATTGAGTTTGGACTTTAAGATCTTCTTCACTCTCTTGATGTATTCACCTCTAATCTTTTTCTTGACTTCAGTGTGCTTGATATTGTCAGCTTGAAGGATACCCAAGTATGTGTAGTACTCTTCCTCATCCAGACTCTTAATGTTATTTTCGTGGGGCATTTTGATTCCTTCAGTTTTCACTATTTTTCCTTGTTTGATAGTAAGTGTGGCACATTTGTCCAAGCCAAACTCCATTACAATATCTTGGCTATATATACGGACAGTGTTGAGCAGCGATTCTATTTCAGATGATGTTTTTCCATACAGCTTCAGATCCTCCATATAAAGGAGGTGGGATAGTCTGGCAGATGTTTTTGATGTTTGATAGCCATGTCCTGAGTTATTCAGTATTGTTGACAGAGGAAACAGTGCAATAACAAATAGTAATGGTGATAAGGAATCTCCTTGAAATATTCCTCTCTTGATATTAACCTCTCCCAGCTTCTCACCATTGATCTGCAACTGTGTCTTCCATTGTGCCATCGATCTTTGCACAAATTTTCTGATGTTTCTACTGATTCCTGTTATTTCTAGGCACTTTATTATCCAATCATGTGGCAGAGAGTCAAATGCCTTTTTGTAGTCAATCCATGCCACATTCAGGTTGGTTTTCCTTCTCTTGCAGTTTTCCAAGATCATTTTGTCTATTAGGAGTTGATCTTTTGTTCCTCTGCTATTGGGGCGGTTTCCTTTCTGCTCAGGTAGAAAGAGATTGTTTTCAACTAGATGCTGTTGTACTGCATCAGCTACCACCCCAGTTAGTAATTTGAAAGTTGTTGGTAAGCAGGTAATTGGCCTGTAGTTACCTGGTGTTGCCCCTTTTGCTGGATTTTTCATTATTAGGTATGTTTTCCCATTTGTTAGCCACTTTTCAATTTCTCCTCCTTGTAGTATATTGTTGAACTGTTTGGCAATGAGTGGGTGTATAACAGTTAGATGTTTCAACCAAAACCCATGCAGTTCATCCTCACCTGGTGCTGACCAATTTTTGATTTTCTTTGCTCTTTTTTCTACCATTTTTGTTGTTATTACTAGTTCTTTCATTTCAACTTCTGTTTTATTTGCATCCACCTCTTTTAACCAAGTCGCATCCTTGTTGTATTTCTTTGGGTTATCCCATATCTGCTTCCAGAACTGCACTGTTTCTTCCTTGTCAGGTACTGACTGATACATTGCAGTTTCTCCATTGATGGATTGGTAGAAACGTTTCTGATTGGATTGAAATTGGAGGTTCTGCCTATAGTTTGCAATTCGAGCTTCATATCTACTGATTTTCCTGGCTATAGCTGTTATTTGTTGCTTTATTATTTCCAGTGCTTCCTTGATCTTCCTTGTTTCTAAGTGGTTATTTCTTGATTAGGTATTCTTTGGTCTTCTTGTTCTTCAGCTTCTTTTCTTTCATCTGTTCTAGCTTGCTTGCATGTGATCTTAACTTGCTGATCTTATTTTCTAGTCTAACCTTCCATTTTTCTGGTGCACTGTTTGTTTGTTTTTCTTCTTTGTTGATTTTGCATCCCAGGTATTCTGTTATAACTGCAGCTGTGCTGTACATTAGTTGGTTTGTTTCTTGCAGTGAATTGGTGCTTATACTTGATATTGCAGTATTTGCATCTTTTAATGCTTGTGCTAGCTGTTTCTTTGGAACAAGCTTCAATGCAGGCAGCCTTATTCTGTTGTTTTTGTGCTGTTCTAGATGCTCAGTTATTCTTTGTTTCAATTCTTTTATTTCTTTAGTTAGAGGGTTTTGTTCTTCCTGAGGAAGAGGTGCCTGGTTTCCAAATGAGAACAGTTGTATATCTCTGCTGGATTCCTTCACTGCCAACTCCCCCTGGTTTGCCTCTACATTCTGAATTACTTCTGGTAAGGCTTTGATTTCTTTGCCCTGGGTAAACCTTTGCAGTTCGTCCAATTCTGTTTCTGTGAATATTTTATTTCGTGTTATAAATCGGCGTTGATCTGCTAGTCTCTGTTCTGTTATTTCTGATTCTGGATGTTGTTCTTTCCAGAACTGGTGCATTCATTTTAGATATCCTCTTCTTGTTGGACTTGATATTGTAGTAACAGATCATTATTTCTTTGTTTTCAATCATTGTGTATCTGCGATGGGTAAACACCTTTTCTTCCAGTAGTTCTGCAGCTGCTGGCCCTGGTTGCTCAGCCAACAGTCCTGAGTCCTGTAATCCATTTTTCACCAGATATCCAGGAACTCCAATATCTAGTGCGGACCTTGTTAACCTGGGCGACGTCCGAGCCGGTATGGCATTCTGCAATTTACGTCTCACCATACTTTTTATGGGAGAGACACTCTTTGTCTGACTCCTCTGATGAGACCTGTCCAGTATGGTTGAACCTCTGGCATAGCTCTCTCAAATACCCAAGTATTTGTAGTACTCTTCCTCATCCAGACTCTTAATGTTATTTTTGTGGGGCATCTTGATTCCTTCAGTTTTCACTATTTTTCTTTGTTTGATAGTAAGTGTGGCACATTTGTCCAAGCTAAACTCCATTACAATATTATTATTATTATTATCGATCATCGCACAGTCAGCCAGATGTTCAGACTGGATTTGGCATTTTGTCTACCTATCGAGTCCTTACCCAGGACCTGGGATAGGCAGATGTGGATGTTTGATGGTATGACAAAGTAGCAACAATGGTGCATTGGAAGATCTGCAAAAAATATCATTTGCCTGTAAGCAAAAACTGGTGGGATCATAAAATAGAGAAAGTCATAGAAAATGATAAAATTAAACTGCTCTGGGACTTCAGAATTCAAACAGACAAGCACCTGCAACATAACACCCCAGACTTAACAATTGTCGATAAGAAAGACAAAAAAGTCTGGATAGTGGACGTGGCAGTGCCTGGAGACAGCAGAATAGAAGAGAAAGAACTGGAGAAGATAACAAAATACAAAGACCTACAAATAGAAATAGAAAGACTGTGGCAAAAGCAAGCAAGGGTAGTACCAATAGTTAGGCTCCTTGGTGCAATCCCAAAACAACTCATATTATTATTATTTATTATTATTATTTATTATTATTATTATTATTATTATTATTATTATTATTATGGATCATCGCACAGTCAGCCAGATGTTCAGACTGGATTTGGCATTTTGTCTACCTGTTGAGTCCTTACCAAAGACCTGGGATAGGCAGATGTGGATGTTTGATGGTATGACAAAGTAGCAACAATGGTGCATTGGAAGATCTGCAAAAAATATCATTTGCCTGTAAGCAAAAACTGGTGGGATCATAAAATAGAGAAAGTCATAGAAAATGATAAAATTAAACTGCTCTGGGACTTCAGAATTCAAACAGACAAGCACCTGCAACATAACACCCCAGACTTAACAATTGTCGATAAGAAAGACAAAAAAGTCTGGATAGTGGACGTGGCAGTGCCTGGAGATAGCAGAATAGAAGAGAAAGAACTGGAGAAGATAACAAAATACAAAGACCTACAAATAGAAATAGAAAGACTGTGGCAAAAGCAAGCAAGGGTAGTACCAATAGTCATAGGCTCCTTGGGTGCAATCCCAAAACAACTGGAGCAACATTATTATTATTATTATTATTATTATTATTATTATTATTATTATTATTATTATTATTATTATTATTATTATTATTATGGATCATCGCACAGTCAGCCAGATGTTCAGACTGGATTTGGCATTTTGTCTACCTGTTGAGTCCTTACCAAAGACCTGGGATAGGCAGATGTGGATGTTTGATGTTATTACAGATATTGTTGCAGGATGGTGGCGGTTGTTGTTGTTATTATTCATTAAATTATGCTCACAATTAAAGTTGTGAGCATTTTTGAGGATTCATTTCTTTTATACAAAAGCGGTCATTCTCATAGAATGTCCAGTTTTCTTACATTCAAATTGTAGGGGGCTATTTTATATACTAATTATACAATTAACTTGCAGATTAACAACTCAGTGATGACATCTACTTCTATATCTGTTGTAGGCTTATGTTACAAGTCACAATGATGTCAAAATGATGCAGTAATTTGCACCAGTGGCCTCAAGACATCATACATACACACATAGAACACATACTCTGGAGGCCCATGGATACTCACCATACAATAGTGCTTTAGTGGAGAAGAAAGATAATGCCTTCACAGCATTCAGAACCCATTGTGTATTTTTGCAAAATTTCTAGATTGAAGTCTTCTGTATTATTCATCACTTCAAAAGAAAACATTGTAATATAACAGTGCTTATAAAGAGTCCTATGTCTACAAGTTCATAAGTGATATTAACAGAGAATCTCTATGTTGCTTCCTTCTGTCTCTCTAGTTGTCTGTGTAATAAGAATACAGTGTGACTGTTGTCGCAGAGGACAATTGAGAAGTATCTTAAACAGACCACACCACTAAAACCTGTGCTGTGGTTGGCTATTTTTAATGTAAACATGCCAGAATTATTACTGTTTTCCTTTGATTATGGGCTTTTCTTTCTGCTCCATCTTTCCCCATTGCAGGCCCTTGGGATGCTGTTTTGGCACAAACATAACATCGAGAAATCTCTGGCAGATTTACCCAATTTCACCCCCTTCCCAGATGAATGGACGGTTGAAGACAAAGTATTGTTTGAACAAGCTTTCAGCTTCCATGGGAAAACTTTTCATCGAATTCAGCAAATGGTAAGGATGGTCAAGTGCAAGAGACTGCAAATGCAAAGTTCTTGACTTAAAAACAAATGAGGGAGTTAACATGTACCATATTTTAATGATTAGTTTTTATTATCCGAATACATGTATCATCATTTTATCCTTTTTTATTATTTACAAAGTTCAATATGCAACCACCCAATATTGATTATAGCCAGGAAAAAGAATGGATTGAGTGAATTTTGGAGACGATAATGTAATATATTCAAAACTTTTCATTGTACAGAATAATAGTATCTGCATGTTAGTACTATAAAGGACCAGTTCATTATCATTTTTTTAGATCTTTAACAGAGGGAAAATAATGTCAAATTATTTTTTCATTTTTGTAAAATCAACAGTACATTGCAGTAATGGTCTGTCAAAATATTCCACACTTTCTGAATATAGCTTCATACATGTTTGTATATCTGAAAACCTTAGCAACAGGCCAGATTTAAGCAATTTTTGAAATAAAACTCAAAGAGAAGATGGTAGAAATATGAGATGTTTAAATATCAGTTTTACTTGTATTTAAACCTACCTTCATTATCTGAGTGACACAAACACTGAAAACATTCTTTTTCCTCCAGAATTGTTTTTCTGTGAAGATATTTTAAAGAATAAATTTTTTATATTGATAATCACTGGAGTTTGAGGGGCACACATGTAACTGCAAGCTGTTAATTGGATGAAATAACCATTTTCTCTCTTTTTGTGGCCAAGACTTCCAATTTAGTAGCCTGCTTTTAAGAATTTTTTCCAGTTCTTCAAACCAGCAAATTGGTTTGTTCTGGGTTATTGAATGTTTTAAAGAGTTAAAGAATTGCGCTTCTGATATCCATAAAACGGTCTCATTGAAGACTAAGTCGTCACTTTTTTTGAGGATAATTTGATTTGAATATCTGTGTGAAGTTGGATTCCATGTTCTAAATTACCCCTTCCATCCCTTGATTCTATGACATGATCTATGATTCTGCTGCTGATTTGCCTTCTGATAGCATAAAACTAGTTCTTTAACAGGCAGAAAATAATCTTATGGCATAAAATATTTTTGTTATAAGACTTAGGGCTAGCTATGTAGACTTTTTATGAAAAAAATGCTGTTATTGGAAGAAAAGGAATGTTTTATGGTCACTAGTATTTTTCATTCCCAGTAAAAAATTTCTGGACAAGCAAATAATAATTGAATTCAGTCAGTCCTCCAAATCATGATCTGGAAGATAAATGAAGTGGAAGCAGCAGTGATTCTCTCTTAAGACATATTTTTACTTGCTTTTTACTGTTTAACAGTTGCCTTTGTATGTCATGTCTACATTTGCCTGGGGCAGTGTGGTGACTCAGCGGTTAAGACATTGGGCTTGTTGGCTAAAAGCCAGCAATCCAGGTTTGAAATCTGAGTGCCACACAATGGGATGAGCTCCCATTACTTGCCCAGCTTCTGCCATCCTAGCAGTTCAAAAGCATTCAAATGCGAGTAGATAAATAGGTACTACTGCTGGAAAGGTAGCAGTCTTCTGTGATGTCATGCTGGCCATATGACAGTGAAAATGTCTTTGAGCCATACTGGCTCATTGGCCTTGAAATGGACATGAGCACAGCCCCTTACAGTCAGCAGTGACTAGCGGAGTAAGATCCGCAGGGACTCCTTTACCTTTTTTTAACCTATGTTTGCCATGTATACTTAGCACTGTATATATTGGAAATGACTTAGGAGCTAGAATTCCTAGAACTGGAATGTTGAGAATGTTAAATAGGTAGCTGCCATCTTTCACTGACTATGGGAAGTGTAAACCAGTGATGAAACATGAAAGTGGCACCAAAATTAATTTGAAGGATGCATATGATGGGACAGCAACCTTACCGATCAACTGTTAAGCAGTTTCAGATGAATCATGTCTTCAAAAGCTTCATCCTAATTCTTACATCCTAGGAGAATCTGAGAGCATGTATTTATGTACGTGTGCTTCTTGTTGAGCCTCTGTTACAGGTAGTCCTCGACTTATGAGCCCCAAATTCTGTTGCATTTGTTAAGTGAATTTTGCCCCATTTTACGACCTTTCTTACCACAGTTGTTAAGTGAATACTGCAGTTAAGTTAATAACATGGTTGTTAAGTGAATCTGGCTTTCCCATTGATTTTGCTTGTCAGAAGGTCACAAAAGGGGATCACATGACCCTGGGACAGTGCATCCGTCATAAATATGAGTCAGTTGCCAAGCATCTGAATTTTGATCACATGGCCATGGAGATGCCACAGCAGTTATAAGAGTGAAAAACTGTCATAGTCACTTTTTTCAGTGCAATTGTAACTTTGAACGGTCACTAAATGTAAATCAAGGACTATCTGTACCATATATTTTATTTTGTTATAGAATTCACACAAAAAATGATTTAGAATAAAAAAATAGAGTTGTTGAAAGCAGATTAATTTCTTGAAAGCAATAGGATGCTCTGTTTGAAATCCAAGATACTAATTGCCAACTTCTGCTCGTACTGGATCATAGCTGAGAAGCAGCACTATTGGACACATTATTGCTATGTGTGCTTTTTTCAACAGTTATTTTGTGTTCCTCAGCTTCCTGACAAATCAATAGCAAGTTTGGTAAAGTTTTACTACTCCTGGAAAAAGACAAGAACCAAAACAAGTGTCATGGATCGTCATGCACGAAAGCAAAAAAGAGAAAGGGAAGAAAGGTAAGCAGAGGCAATTGTGAATATGCACTCCACACTTAACTTTTGATGAAATATTGAAGGCTTTTATGCTCCATATGCACAGAATTCCTGTTATCAGTTAGATCAAAGCCAAGTAGCTGATATAATTTGACAGAGTGGAACGTTGTTTTTAAAGATCCACATAATTCTAATGGTTATTTCCCATGAGTTTAATAATGTTCACTTTCTTTTGCATGAAGAATTAAAATACGGCAGAAACTTTTGAAGAATCTCTAACGCTGCAGGCAAGGCTTTCAGGACCCTTTTGAAGTAATGGAACCATAATAAAATATAACAAAAAATTTGTAAAACATGATGGCAGAAACTCACATCTTATATATTAAAATGAGCTCACATACCATCCTTGCCCACTCAGTGCATCTTCAAGACCAAAGGCTTAAATATGGTTAAATTTGCTAGAGAGACACTTGATGTAATAGATAAAAGTCCACCAAAGTCTACATCAAACTGGTGCTCTCTAGGTCATACGAGGATAGTAGGTTGGGGGAAATCTGGATTATGCTACAATAATTTTGTTGTGCTTTTTTTTGCTTTATTCAAAGCTAGCTCTTTGAAAATTAACACACAGGAAGCTATCTCGCTTTTCAGAACAGGCAAAAGAAAAGAGCTTGTAAACTGCTGACATTTTGGGTACAAATGCTACTCTGCTGTTGTGTTTCTTTACATCAGATACTTTGTAAAAAATTCTGAGCTTTATTTTGCAGCTTGTTCCATTCTAATGGTAAATAAGAATAGATATAATTACTGTACAAGAATGTGTGTCTAAGGTTCCATGTTTTATACAGTAATTGTATCATTTCTTCCAAGAAACATAATAATTACCATGTCAGCTTTAAAACTTTGTAGAAACTTGGGCCTATGTATTGATTTTTATGATCATGTATATAGATGTTAGAAATATAGTCTTCTATAATTCGCACTTCTGCTTAGGCTTATTGTGGTAAGCAGTGTAATGCTGATATATTGGTAGTTTTCCTGGTTGAACACATCACTAGCTGAATGGTTTTATTGCATCCTAATTCATGGAAGGACATCACATAACTCAGTGTTGAAGTAGCTGATGTTCATATTCATGTTGATTGCAGAGACAATCAACTATCGTGCAGGAAGGATTACTTGTTGCTCCATTCCTCCCAAACAAGTTCCAACAAATCCATTCCCTAAAGTCTTGCACAGAACTGTTTTCAAAAATAAAAACCAATTAACAGAGATTGTCTTACATTATCCAGAACATTGATTTAAGATCCCAATTGATATTGAATTGCTCATGTAGATTGTCTGCAGGTTTAACTCCAGGCAGGTTTGTTGCAGGCTTTGTTATGATTTTTCCCCATATTATTTTTCCACTCATGTGTTCTATTCCCATGCCAGAAATGCTCTATAAGAAAAGAGCTCTGTGAATTGTTCCTCACTCAAGATATAACCAAACTCTTTGCTATGCAATGTTCCTTTTTTCCTTTGTATTAATGCATCAGTCAACTTATATCTTGATAAGCAAGTTCCTGTTCATCTAAACTACAAGAATCAACTTTGGAAGAAACCAGGATATTAAAAAGTATTTTAAATGATGGTTGTTCTGTGAGTTGGTAGCTGCATGGGAAACTATGTTTAATTTGACTTCTGTATTTCATCTTATCTTCATTATGTATACCATGAACAGAGGGAAAGGGAACTTTATTTGGAGGATTAAACGTTAGTCATAATCAAGAACAGTCATAACCTTTTTAAAGTAAATCTTAAAATTTATCGTCACAGGCAAAAGGCTTAATCATTTGAATTTTTAATTCTGAGTAATAATTATACCAATACCTTTTTCATGGCATTTGAAAGCTTGCATCATGTAACCAAAAATTTTGATTTTGGGGGGCTTTTTTATATATGTATTCTGTTCATCGTGTAGAATTAAATTATCTCATAAATTTAATTTGATTTACAAGCAATTTGCTATAGGTTTGGTCTTAAAGAATCCATGACAATCTGCCAGAATCTGGACTTTATATTAATACTGTGTTCTCTCAGTGCAGGAATATTGATTCAAAATACTCTGAGAGCTTGTTGCTATGGAGATGGTGATTCCATTTGTACAGTTTTGGGAAAGGGGCCAACCTGGCACATGTATGCTTGCATTCATAAACTACATAAACTGCAGGCTTAGGATGTACTTGGTTTGGTAATTGAAAGCCACAAATACGGGTACAAATATTTTAAACATTAAATAAGCTTGTGAGGGATGTCTGTTTCTGGTTTAATAGTTGAAAGATAGCTGAAATTCAGCAAACAAGCCGGTTTATCAGAAAACATATATTGAAATTGGCCCTTTGTCTTCAAGATTGTAACCTGTCATGTATGGTTGCCAATCACTGAAGGAGAAATCTTTATAGAATTGATAGTTATACTGTTTCTTCTAACACCAATAAACAATTTTTCCTAGATCATTGAACTGATGCTTCCTTTCATTAGCAAGAATACCTAAAAGATATCATAAAATAAGCTTCCATTAGGCAGGTCAGGACACATGTTTTCTCAGATGATTAATAGAAGAGTTAGAACACAAAGTAGAAGTGGGAAAGTAAGCCATTTGGGGATTTAAATTTTAATAGACTAAAATGTTTTGCATTTGCTAAAATATGGATGATACTTAAGCACCACATTAAACAATTTTTCAATTTTTAAACAATTACCTCTTTTTGTAATTCCTTTTGGAACAGAATTCATATTCCTATTTTCAGTAATATGTTTTGCATTTATGGATTATATTTCTTCGTTAAGGTTATTTGAATTGCCTCTCCATGAGAATTCTTGGGAGTTGAAGGTGAAACAGATCAATCCAGTGACTCGTGGAGCTGAAAATCTGTTGAATTCACTGCTCAGTGCAGGGATCCTAGTTAAATACTCTAGTATATAGCTACCAGCTCTGTCTCCTTCAGTAATTAGATTTATTATACAGCTGTTCATACCATTGAGAATTTGACTTATAAATTAATATACATCTACCTTATATTTCTCACCAAACAATTATTCTGAGAAATAAATCACCTGGATAGTTGCATGTTGCATTTTATTATATTCAACTTGTTGTAAATTTAGAACTGTAGTTCAAAAATACCAATGCCCCCAGTACCATATTCCCTCCTTAACTAAGCTCACAATTATTGGTTATTGCAGAGGAAAATTGCAGACTTATATAGTATTCTATGCCTTCATAGTTCAACAAAGTTTAGTCATTACTGCCCATGTATGACAAGATTAGGAAAAAAAATTTTTAGTTAAAACTATGGTCTCTAACCTAATCTGCAAACAATTCTGCAAATGCATGGTTAAATATACTCTACTCTAAATTAATCCAGATTGCAGACAAAAACTTTTGTTTGTCTAAAAAATCATATGCAATTCTTGATTTCTACTTTATAGCCAGCTACTCTTCAGATTCTTCAAGTTGTTCTTGAGGAAACAACTTGGACCAAAGAAAAAGAACAATTTCTTTTTTTGACAAATTTCTATACTGCCCATAATTTGCAGATTGAAGGAATAGCTTTACAATTACAGTGTGAATAATACCAATGGAATAGGGACATTGATTCTCCGCTCAGATAGAATATAATCCTGCATATGTATTATTTCATTTCACCTTCTTCATTGGGTGGCAGTCATAATGATTAAATAGCTCTTTAACAATCAGTTTCCAAGCAGAAGTACATGCCCTTTAAAATGTTATCCTTTTTAATTTATTTATTTTGTTCAAAGGAAGAGAGAGAAGCCTACAAAGTACACCTTGATGTACTAACAAAGTTTAACTTTACAGTTTTACATCATGTTATGCAGTTAATTTACCTAATTGTTTACTGAACAATAGGAAAAAGGAAACTAAATTATCACCAAGATAATGGCCTCCTCATAGATTGTGATGGGCCATCTGGTCTAGTGCAGTTTGTAGATGTTATTCAATTTCACAGTCTATGGCTGCTTGTGAGAGATTGGCCCAAAATCACCCAGTGCCAAGGGTGGACTAGAACATATGTTTTCCCAACCTCAGTCTAGCGCCTTATTCACAATACTAGACTGTCTGTCATTAACTATTATATATGTAGAGTTAATATATTAACACACACAAACGTACACACACAAACTCTAATAAATTTGTAAATAGTCCTACAAGCAGAATTCCTAGTCAAAAAATGATTGTTCAATTTTTCTGAGTTCTTCAGAATATTCTGTATAACATGTTTCCTCTGGAACATTCTGTCCCCTCGGGTGGGGTTTGCCCCCACTCTCCTACCCTTCTGCAATGGCCTGAAGACCTGGCTCTGCTGATTGGCCTGGGGCCCAGCAGGGGAATACATCATTAGAGGTGATTGCTGGACTAACTAGCAGACTCCTCTTCCGCCTACTGTGTTTCCTGATCACCTTTCATTTATCTTTTAAATGTCATATTGTTGTACTTCCACTATTTACTTTTATTGTTTCATTCCATTACTATTATTATTTTACATTTTATATTTTTGTCTGTTTTGTTGTTGTAAGCTGCCCAGAGTAGCCCCACGGTGAGATGGGCAGCAAATAAATTTAATAGGTAGATAGATAGATAGATAGATAGATAGATAGATAGATAGATAGATAGATAGATAGATAGATAGATAATATAAGTGATAGATCAATAAGAATCATTCAGTGATCATAGAATATGTAATATAGACTTACATTGTCTTCCTGTTTGATTCCAAATTGTTAGTATATAATTCAAAAGAACATAAGAAACAACAAAATCTGAATACTTACAAAATAGAATCAGTATGTGAAGGGTACCAGCCACATTACATGAACCACTGTTCTGTTTTGAGTACTATATCACTAAGAATGAGCTGACTTCTTTCTAAAAAGACACACATATATTCAGTAGCAGCAAAGTAATACTTTTTGTTTAATTAATAATTTATTCTATAGAAATATGGCATATAAAATGA